AGCTTTAAGACAGTCTATGGTATTTGGATGAAACAAAAAAACATAAAAAAAGAGTATACTGATATGAAAAAAGCCGCCATGGCATGCAACAGTCGGCAGGACATATCAGAAATACAAGTGCTGAATAAGAATTTTTGTGAATGCTGCCATCAGCTGCGAAAATCTTACAATTGCAAGCAATATAAAATTTACTATCACTGCCTGGGTAAAAGGAAAGTGAAATTACTACTTAAGTATCTATTACAGAATTATTCTATTACAATGATGGAAGGCGATAAATGTTATAAAAGGAAAGTGGTTGGCGTTGTTTGTGTTTTGAAGTTTTGAAGGTGTAGTTTATGTGGTACGAGTAKAAGGTTACGGTAAAGGTTTCAGAACTGGATGCCATGACAGCTAATAAATGATGATGGTAGAAAATTGGTGCAATGGAGCAGGTCAAGATGATTTGGCAAAGGTTGTCTTATTTGATTGTCAAATTTTGTTTACAGCTGGCATTACATTTTAATAAAGGTGATTTTATATAAAATTAGAAATAGTTATTGCAGTTATGTTATGAATTTCATTTCACAGCCTCTACTTAGCTCGTCAAACTTCACACAGCGACGACTCAACTACTGTAAATCGTCTGAAAAGTACGTTCTCTATAGATCTACAGAGGATGTCTCGCTGACAGTGAATCAAATTTCTTGAGCTCTCCAAAGCAAGTCTCCTTAACGTTAACTAAGATTTGTGTTCGGTAAGTGACTTATTCAAGTTTGGAAACAAACAGCAGTCACACCATGCTTAATCTGAAAATATAGAAGTTCGTTGTCTAATTCAACCAATGTGGCGACGGCGGTGTTATGAGCCGGTATGTGGTCGCACTGGGAAAGCACTTTTTCGGATCGGCTAAATAATACATCAGCTGAATGAACGGTCTGCCAATATGAAATCGGGATCTTTTAACTTATCATGTTCATAATGCCTGAGTACAGCTGATCAATAACTGAAATCCACTTTCCTTTACATTACTCACTACAGGCGCAGATGCCTTTCATTTTCATTTCAGCTTGGATGCCTGCTAACAATATGCTCATACATGTAGAGGACATACAAATGTATGTACATTACCATAAATTTGTGCAGACGCATAGACATAGCGTGGTGCCAGAGTTATAGAGTAGTCCTTTCGGTCATACCAAGGCAGCGCTGCTGTTCGCTGTGTGGCAAATATGTATACTTTGCTACATCTACAAATATATTTTTGTCTGTGTGTATGAAGGKCATACCAAAATAACTTACATCACCTCATTTACCATTCCGGTAATTATTAATTTATGAGTTGAAACAGTTTCAATAATTCATTTCGCATGACGCTTCGGCTCGACCGAATACCAAAAGTGTTGCTGAACGAAGAATGTGTCAAGAAGTTCGATAAAAGTGAAAAGTTGAGAACGCTGAAGGTGGCTGGTGGTAGTTAGTTATAAAATAATACATGAGGGTGAAAGCAAACGGAAAAGGACATTACCGGTATTCAGAAAGAAAGAAAGCTAGAAAAATAATATTACCGCAAAAAAAAAAAAATATTATTTTTTGTACACACACTCACACACTGACAAACAAAAATATTAGTTTACATTTTGAAAGTGTGTCTGTAACTTTTTCCTCCAAACAGTTTATAATTTTATCTCTCGTGAGTGAATGTTGTTGCATATTAGATATTCTCGAGCGTGTGTCTCCTTAGGTGTACAAGCAAATAAAACTTCGCTTGCCGCCTATAAGCATGCAACGTGAACACACACGCATTT